CATATTATAAGGTAAGGTTATAAAACCACCATTTAAGATCATTTTAGTGAAAGTTTCATCCTTCAAGGCGTACCATTCACTGCTGAAATACTAAACAACCTGCTTCCATGGCCGAGATACAGGGCGCCCATATTATAAGGTAAGGTTATAAAACCACCATTTAAGATCATTTTAGTGAAAGTTTCATGTTCCTATCTCATAGAATTTAAGAACAATGATGAATAAATAATTTTCGAGCAAAATTTAAATGGCCGGCTGAATATATTACCGCAGGAGCCGCGGCCGCGGAATTTAAATGACCACGTCAAAGGGTTAATTAATTAAGCACAGGTGCAACTTTTTTTTCCCTTGGCACTACAGCCCAAGTGGGCCTAGGCCTACCATCTCCATGAACTTCTCTGTTCACTTCGGTTTTTCTACATCTTACACATTCGGTAGGACTTCTTGGGTGGGTGATCAGCTCGTCGCAAGGCCTCTACCTGTACACAAACACAGAAAAACGCATACACACAAACTAAACATCCATGCCCTGAGTGGGATTCGAACCCACGATTCCACTTTCCAAGCGAGCAAAGACAGTACATGCCTTAGACCGCTCGGCTACCGTGACCGGCCCCAGGTACAACTTTACCTTACCTTATTGTAATGTCTATAGCTTAAAAATGAAACTCATTTATAAAATAGTAATAGCTTACATGCCATATGCTGTTCCCAGTTGATATTCTGGAATTACAAGTGCAACCATTGGCCAGAGAGCACTGGCAAGCATTGAGTAGGCTACACCTAGGATAGACTGTAAAGAAAGCAATTATCAGTATCAACATTTACATGATACCATGTCCACTAAATACAGTAAGCTGAACTTCAATATATGGAAAGGACAAATATTATATTTGCAGAGCAAGGATTACTAACTCCACTTCACAGCTAGTTCAGATACTTACACTCAGAGACACTTCAACACTGCCACCATAACAGAACTTGAACTCCATGCGGCTGAGCCCTCTTTGAGAAGCTTCCAGTTATGCAGCTACATAAGAATTTCCAAACATTTTATGGAACCAAAAGGTTCATTACTGTGTTCACAAGAGCCCTCCAATGGTCCTTATCCTCAGTAAGATCAATTCAGTCCATACCACCCCATTCTATCCAAGATCCACCTTAATATGATCTAGTCATCCTATTGGTCTCTTTCCTTCTTGCCTTCCACCTAAATCCTATATGCAGTCCTCTTCTCCCACATCCATGCCACATGCCCTGCACATCTCATCTTCCTTGGTGAACAGTACAAGTTATGAAGCTCCTCATTATGCAGTTTTCTCCAACCTCCTGTCATTTCATCTCTCTTTGGACCAAATATTCTCCTCAACACCCTCAGTCTATGTTCCTCCCTTAATGTCAGAGACCAAGTTTCACACCCATACAGAACCACAGGAAAAATTAGTTTTGTATATTCTAATTTTTATGTTTTTAGACAGCAGATGAGAAGACAAAACGTTCTGGACTGAATTGTAGCAAGCATTATCTGGATTCAGTCTCCTCTTAATTCTCACCTAAATCAGTCAAATTTTGATTTGTTACTGTCATCCCCAAATATCTGAATTGTGCCATATTTTCAAATGATCTATTTGCCATCTTTATGCCATATTTCGACCTGCATTCTGGTGACAAGACAGCAACAAGTACTTAGTTCTCTGTGCATTTGCTTCTAGACCAACCTCCTTACTAGCATCACTTACAGCAGTCCATGTGTCCCATTTAATTCCAGTCCCACCTCATTCTCCTGGACCTTCCTAATTGCATATTCTAGAACAAAGCTGAAAGTAAATGACAACAAAGAATCTCCTTGTTTTGGAGCATTTTGAATAGGAAACATATCAGACAAATGATTACCTATATGGACTTTACTGTAGGTTTCATATAAACATGTTTTAATCAGCCCAACTAGTTCCATGGGTACCTAAGTTCAATGAGAATACTACAAAATATTTTCCTCCTAACTAAGTCATAGGCTTTCTTAAAGTCTATGAATAGCTTATGTATTGTACTCCTATTTTTTCTCCATTATCTGATGAATGAAAAAGTCTGATGAGTTAAGATCTAAAAGTTTGTGATGATGGTAAATTGCTACAAATACTATGTTTCTGGACATTATCCATCGTCTCGTCTAGTTTTAAAAAAACCGTCCTGTTTCCATTTTAAAACACAATGCTTTGGAGACTGGATTCTGTCCCCATCCTCAAGTAAAACCTACTCAGTTGGGTCCAATAAATAGAGCTAGTTCCTGTCTCCAGACACCTATGCCAGTTTCAGAAGGGGTTCATAATCCAAGCACAACACAAACCATCGGTGAGAGCTAAGAAAATAATCAACTAATGAAGCTACACACATATGATAAGTTGTTGATATGTCAGCTGAAACCCACAATGACGATCCCCAGTAATTTAATCTATATATGAACTTAATCTTGAGAGAAGGATATTGGGTAAAATCTTCTATGAAGCTGATAACAGTGATATTCCATGATAATTACTACAGTCAGTTTTACTACCCTTTTTGTAAATTGGTACAATAACAGAATTCTTCCACTGATCAGGCAATTCTTCCTTATTCCAAATAGAATTAATGACTTTATGGATCTCTGACCACAAAGTTTCACCTCCTGCTTGAATCAGTTCTGTTGGAATTTAATCACTACCTGGCGATTTATACTTTTTCAACTTTGCAATAGCAATTTCAACCTCAACAGGACTAGTATCAGGTAATAACAGCTCAGCTATATGTATTTCTGTCTGCCTAACATCACTGACTCTATGTACATTCAATAACTGAGAGCAGTTCTTCCACCTGCTCAAAATGTTGTGGGAATATCCAAGCAGATCACCATTGTTATCCTTTATTAAATTAGTTCTGGGGTGATGGAACTTCAACACAGATATTAATTGTAGCATTTACTAGACAACGGAATGAAATCAAGGTCTGATTTCTGTGCAGGGTTAACAAATATTTCTCTCCTCAAAAGTGCCCCGACTGGCTAGAGTGACCTCCTACACACCATGCACAGAAACTCTTTCAAAAGAAGTAAATCAGCTGGTGTATGAAGCTAACCCCTCACTGGGCATGTGTGGAGCTATAGCTGCCCTCTTCCATATGTCTTAATGGTGTGGTACTTAGTTAAGCACATAGGCAACAGGCAAAATAATAAACAAACCCATATAAATAACCATTCACTACATAAAATAATAAATACTGCACTTTCTACCTTTATTCTACCCCAAAACATAATGTTCTGAATGTTCTCCACACACTATACACCTTGCTCCTCTTAATGCAATAAAAAGTGGTTGGTTACTAATGCTGCACTTCAAGAATTAAATCAACTGTGCTTTTACCTTCAATTGGTTGGTATATTTGTAACTCATTTTCTACTCAGACAACATTTGGGCGAGTTATGTTATCAAGTTACTCAGAGTACTTCACATGTGAAGGGTGATATCATGTGGTTCCTACTCTTGTGCCAGACGTCTCAGCAGTTGTGTGACCGCAATAACGGCTAACAGCTGAGTAGGGTCCTTTGTGGCTGACCAAAAATGGTGTCAAATATTGTCATTGTTCATCTCTTGTCAATAGTGGAAGGTCCTCTTACATGCTCCTAATGTGCGACATGGAAACACCTGGCTTTATTTCCCTTCTGAAGGAACTTGGCTGGGTGTTAAACTGGGAACATTGGGTTCACGGTGAGCACATTACCACTAGACCATTGAGGAAGATACATAATAAAAAGATGTAAAATTATAAAGGTCCTGTCCCTTCTAAAGTCATGAACCATCATTCAACTTTTAATAGTTAGGATTTCCATTACTGCAACAGAGACTGGATGCTGTCAAGCTAGCTGATAGTTGCATTTCTTTCAACAATAATGCTATTACCTACAAGTTAAAATCCAGCCACCAGCTCCTTTGTACCAGGGGATATGTCTCCTATTCCTGATAAACTATTATTATCAAGATCAAATCTGGCTGCAAGCACTGCTGTACTAAGAAATTAAAACATATTCCCAGGCAAAAAAACTTTAAAATTTAAATGTCTTGAAAAAAAAATGAGGTGACAGCATCACACACCAGTGTTTTGAATAGAATGGGTAAAAGATTAAACTAAATAATACCCAAAATAATGTGTAGAGAATTTCAAAACAATCCAACTATCTTTGAGTGTCTGTAGAAATTTTGATAAAACATAATTATATTTATAACACTGTATTTTAGCACCTTGTTGCATCAAACTATTAGAGAGAATATCAAAATTTCTGCCAAAGAGAGTCTTGGTTATTATGAATTGAGAGAGCACAAGCCATGGTTCGATGAAGGATGCTCAAAATTACAAGACCAAAGGAAACAAGCCAAATTGCAGTGGTTACATGATCCAAGTGAAATAATTAGAGATAATGTGAAGAGTATATGATGTGAAACCAGCAGGCATTTCAGGAATATAAAGAGGGAACATCTGAAAGACAAAATTGATGGGCTTTAAATGTACATTAAGAACAAGAACATCAGAGACGTATATAGAAAAATAAATGACTTTAAGTGGGGTTACCATCCTAGCAGTAACTTAGTGAAGGATGAGAATGGTGATCTGCTTGTAGATTCCCACATTATTTTGAATAAGAATAAGAAGTTATTGAATGTATATAGTGTCAGTGAAGTTAGGCAGATAGAAATCCGTACAGCTGTCAATAGTACCTGATCCTAGTACTTTTGAGGATGAAAATGCTCTTGGAAAGTTTGAAAGGTATAAATTGCCACGTAGTGATCAAATTTCAGCTGAACTTATTCAAGTAGGAGATGAAATAGTACATTCTAAAATCCATAAGCTAACTGATTCTACTTGGGATAAGGAAAAATTGCCTGACCAGTGGAAGGAGTCTATTATTGTAGAATTTCACAAAAAGGGTGATTAACCTGACTGTACTAATTTTCTGGGGATATCACTGCTATAAACTTCATACAAAATTTATTCAATATCCTTCTCTCAGGGTTAAGTCCATATATAGATGAAATTATTGGAGATCATCAGTGCGGGTTTCAGCATAACAGATTACCCACTTATCAGACTTTTTCATTCATCAGATACTGGAGAAAAAATAGGAGTACAATGAGACAGTACATCAACTATTTGTAGACTTCATGAAAACCTATGATTCAGTTAGGAAGTATTGTATAATATTATGATAGAGTGTGGGGTACCCTTAAACCAGTCAGGGTGATTAAAATGTATTTAAATGAAATATATAGTAAACTCAATAGAGGTAAACATTTGTCTGATAATTTTCCTATCCAGAATAGTCTAAAACAAGGACACACTTTATTGCCACTGTTTTTTAACTGTGCTTTAGAATATGCCATTAGAAAGGTCCAGGAACATCAAGTGGGACTGAAATTTAACGGGACACATCAGCTGTTGCTCTATGCTGATGATGTGAATCTACTGCGTGATAATATAGGTACCATAAAGAAAAACACACTATCTGTATCTGATGCTAGTAGGAAGGTTGGTCTAGAAGTAAACACAGAGAAAACTAGGTACATGTTGCTGTATCACCATCAAAATGCAGGGAAAAATTATGACATAAAGACAGGTAACAGATGTTTTGAAAATGTGTCACACACAGGTCAGATATTTGGGAACAACTATAATAAATCAAATCCTGATTCAGTTGGAAATTAAGAGACGGAATCTGGGTAACGCTTGCTACCATTCAGACCAGAACCTTTTGTCCTCTCATCTGCTGTCTAAAAACATAAAAATTATAGTATAAAAAATATGATTTTGCTGTGGTTCTGTATGGGTGTGGGTGTGAAACTTGGTCTCTGACATTAAGGGAGGTACATAGACTGAGGGTGTTTGAACAGGGTGTTGTGGAGAATATTTGGACCAAAGGGAGGTGAAGTGATGGGAGGTTGGAGAAAACTGCATAATGAAGAGCTTTGTTAACTTGTACTCTTTGCCAAGTATAATTAGAATGATCAAGTCAAGGAGGATGTGATGGGCATGGCTTGCAGCAAAAATGGGGGAGAGGAGGAATGCATATATCATGTTGGTGGGAAAGCCAGAAGAAAAGAGACCACTAGGAAGACCAAGACATAGCTGGCTCAGGAGAGGGACCAGTGGAGGGCTCTTGTGAACACAGTGATGAACTTTCGGGTTCCATAAAATGCTGGGAAGTTGTTGAGTGGCTGCACAACTGGCAGCTTCTCAAGAAGGGCTAGGCTCTGTGAGTGAGTGAGTTGTATCAAATGTTCAGTTTGTGCCTTGGGTAGGAGACTAGAGTGGCACGTGCATAAAATCCTGGTAGCCACTTCTCTCCTGACAACCTTTACAGGAAGGGCTCAATTTATCTGATAATTACAGTACTGGATCAGCAAAATTCATGTAAAAATGTGGTACTTTCATATTAATGGATATCCCAAACAATCTCATGGAAAATGTCTATGACCTTCTTTACAAGATTTGTTCAGGAAACACAATTAGAACAAAGAAATATTCCAGTTTGGTGGTCAGTACTGTTTGATCATTCCCAAAACGGCACCGAGCGGGATCCTTGTTGCTGAGTTGGCCTCACCACATAAATTCAGCCAAGTAAGTGTCCAGAAGATGACACAGGATGCCTCTGCAATCCCGACTGGGCAATTTACCCAATCCCCACATCCACTCCATATTTTGGGTGTACATAATTTTATTTGAATATTGACCACCAGAAAGTGAAATATTACTTTCCTTTTTCTAATTTTCTTTCCTGAATAAACACTGTAAAGAAAGTAACAGATGTTGACTATATGAAAAAAAATTTTATGCTTTCAACACTTACAGAGTTTTGTTATGAGACAGCATTAATTTCACAGAGGTAACAATCCTGCTCACCTTCATATACAACACTGTGGAGCACACAGGTTTCTTCACTATGTAGATTATTCAATAACATCAATAAAATTAAAATAAACTCCTTAAAATGTAACCTTGTTCTGAACTTCACTCCCAGATTCATGAAGAGTCTAAGATTCCAGAATTATTCCTAAAGCAGTTCTTACAAACAAATGATAATAATGACAAATTTTATTCTCACCATTGCAACATATGGGGTGACGTAGGTGAAAGCAAGAAGTGAATGGCAGCCAATGGTCACCAGAATTGACATACACACCCAGAACACATTCTTGCCAACTTTATCCACAAGGAGGCCAAGGAGAGGTGATGCCACAGCTGATATTATATACAAAATACTGTTCACTGTATTTGCATTGTCAGGTGTAAAATCAAATTTGCGTTCAAAAAATACCCTGTAAATAGCACATAACAAATGACAAAGTTAACTTGAACACTGGTAATAGCATACTTTACATACTAGAGAGAATTAACCCTTCAAGAGAGCGCAGTTACTACATATACCATCTGCTTTAATATTAAAAGAACTCTACACTGTGCCTACAGTTTTGTATGCTTCTAAAAATAAATGCGATTATTTCCCTAAATAGAATTAACTGTCTGTCCATCTGGTGGAGACAAAGTGTTTTCTGTGATGTAGGAACTGATTTTTTTAACATGTTTCGCTAAATTTATGTTTCAAAGAGTAAAACTGAACTTCTTATTGCATGTAATCTGCATTTAGAGGGACGACTCATATAAATAAAAATTCAGGGGTTGTAAAATTAAGGACAGGACTCCTGGTAAAAAAAAAAAGGACGACAATGGCACAACAGGCATTCACCACAGACAATTTTAATTTTAAATGGAGAGCAGTATAAAAAACAAACAACAGTACCACATTAAATTACTGAAGAGAGATACCTAGACAGAGGTGGGAAGAAAATGTTTAACTTGTAGGGCCTGAAGTTCTCACAGCAGTGGCTATAAAGAACTTGTATCTTCTGGGCTGAAACACCTTGTAGTCCGATAAAAGTCAGCTAACATTTCAGAGGAACATGTAGCCTCCATTTTCAAGGTCAAAGAATTAGCTATGCAAGAAAACAGTATGATGCAGGTAGAAAGCTCCGAAACATCGGCTGACTTGCAATGGACTATACAGCATTATATCCCAGAAAATAGAACTCTTCAACATTACACTTGAGCTTAAGGGAATAGTACGTGAGGAAGGATTGGATTCATCCTTCTCAGGCCAGACATCAATGCTCAGTGTTCCTGACCATTGTAAGAAACGTTTGGTCTTAAAAAAGATGGAGAATTTATTGACCAGCTGAATAATTATCATCACCTCAAGTACTCTGGTTCATGTAGCTAGTTTAGTTAGTTATTAATTTTCTATTTACAGGCATGTAATTCCTCAGAATCTAAAAGAAAACAAACTAATAGGAGTAAAAGTGAATTAACAATGCCTGGGAAAGAAATTAACATGAAAATCCCAACCTATGCTATAATATGGCAACATTTTGCACAATAAATCACAGAAGCATGCTAAATGCTATGGTAGCAAGTGTGTACACAAATGAAAGGAGAATGTTAATTCCACAGGTTTCAAAAGCGTAGAGGTAGTTTAGGAATCAAGAGACAAAGTCAAATGAAATTTGGAGACTTAGTTTATGAACAGTAGCTTGTAAGATAAAAAGGAAGACAAAGTAATATTGCTGGCAATATATTCAAAATTCTATCAAGAGATAATTTGTGGAGTTAACAACTTCCATAAACAATGTACTCTGAATTTAGCTACAGGTTCTTTTGGTTCCTACCCATAGGACCACTCAATTACCTAGACTGGTAAGTTACTCTCACTAGAATGGCAGGCTGTAGCACTGGAAATGCGGGGAGAAATGGGGCCTACTTAGGCCCAGAGCATTATGTTTGTGAAGTTATTCCACTGCTTTAAGATATCATAACTGTCATTCCAAACAATGTAGTAGGAACAAATTCCAAATTATGCATTGTAATAATTTACACTGTAACATGTGGTCATATCCCATGGCTTTTCTACTGATTCGTAACTTGTTACATTACTGCCTCAGTCAAAGCCAGTTGCCTCAAGCAGTAATGCTTCTAATTTGTATCAGAGAAGAGCCCAGTTCAAATCTCAGGTGGGATACCATCAGTCTTGAGGACTTTGTGGGTTTCTTCTGTCCTTCTAGGTAAATGCTAGAATAGCATTTCTAACTAGACAACAACCACTTCTTTCCGCACCAAATTCAATTCATTATTCACTTACCCCCTTACCATTTGACATTATACAGTGGAGTCACATCATATGCGCATTTAACTTCCATGAATTCAGTCACATGCCGCGTGCGTGTATAGGCCGCAGCACAATTTTCAGACAGAAATTATAGAAAAAATAATTTTCTTGGAATATTATTTCAGGAGTAGAAATTATTCCGAAATTTGGCAACATTTAACATTCCTAAGTTCGAAACTAGCGAAAATAACGGTACCGCTCGGAACAAAGGCATTGTGGGGGAGAGTTATAACCTTTTCACCTTTACTTGACTTGCCTGGTTAGTTCTGAGTGAAACATGGGTCGAGTAAGAGCACGTTATATGTCTAAATTTAAACTTCAAGTGGTGCGTTACGCACAAGAACTCGGAAATCGAGCAGCAGGGAGAAAATTCGACATTGACGAAAAAATGTGCAAGATGGATACTAACGAAAGATGCCCTTGAAAAAACGTCACGAAATCGACAATCTTTCCGCGGAAAGAAAGCTAAATTTCCAGAACTTGAAAATAAACTTTTGCGATACGTGCGTAATACACGGGCAGATGGATTTTCAGTGTCTGTGGAAATGATTCAATTTGAAGGCCTCAAAATAGCGGACAGAATGAAAATTCCTCGTAATGAATTTAAGGGAAGTTATGGATGGGCAAGGTGCTTTATGGCCCGACATGATCTTGTAATTCGGCGACGGACGTCAATAGCGCAGCGCCTTCCCGACACATACCAGGAGAAACTGCTTGCATTTCAAAAACATGTCCTGAAATTAAGAAAGACGCACAACTACACCATGGGAGCTATTGGAAATGTTGATGAAACTCCTGTGTTCTTTGAAATGCCGGGTGAAAGTACAGTGAACAAAGCAGGCGAAAAAACAGTGCATGTGCGGACTGCAGGAGCAGAAAAGCAGCGGTGTACCGTAATGCTTGGTATCACTGCTGATGGAAACAAACTACCACCATTTGTAATCTTCAAACGCAAAACATTGCCGAAAGAAAAGCTTCCACCGGGAATTTTGGTGAGAGTTCAAGAAAAATGATGGATGACAGAAGAGCTCTATCTGGATTGGTTGAAATCAGTGTGGTTTCGGCGCCCAGGCGCACTTTTACGTCAGCGGTCAATGTTAGTGGTTGACAGTTTTCGAAGCCATTTAACTGAAAATGTGAAAGTGAAGATGAGGCAGGAGAAAAGTGATATGGTTGTGATACCAGGGGGGATGACTGGCATGTTACAACCACTTGACGTGTCAATAAACCGTCCTTTCAAGTCTCATTTGCGGCGCTTTTACCGGGACTGGAGATGCGGTTCCACGGAGATGACGCCGACTGGACGATTGAAGAAACCTTCATTAAGTCAAATGTGTGAGTGGATTGTGGCTGCATGGAACACCATACCAGAAGAAATGGTTTCCAAAAGTTTTAAAGTCACATCCATTTCCAACGCAATGGACGGGACTGAAGATGACGCTGTATGGCTGACATCACCTGACAGCGAAACTTCGAGCGAGAGCGACATCGACAGTAACGAGTCAAGTGATGAACAGTAATATGGTTCAATTACCGTGGACCAACTTCAGAAAGTGTCGCATAATTTATTCATGCGATGCGAAGCATGTTTGCAAGCAGAAGGGGGTCACTTTCAGCACCTGTTATAAAGCACGGTAAGTTTGTGTTATCTTTTTACAGTATTCTTATAAATGTGTGCATGTACAGAAACTGATGTAAGGGTATCAGCGACACGACTGCACTCTCGCTAGCGGGGAGGGGCACAGTAGTCGCGGAGAAACGTTCCATCCGCTCTACGCTGCTGCCCCGGTTTCCTCGATCTTTGAACACCCTGTATTACTAATTATGAATATAATTTTTTTTAAATGAAGTGCGATTTCGAATATTTCGAATATAAGCCACACCCCAGTTTTCCTCTTGAATTTTTGGCAAAAAATGTGCGGCCTATACATGCGTAAATACAGTAACTTCCATGAATTCAGTCACATGCTTCCCAAAATAAAAAAAAATTAAATGCATTGAGTAATTCTGTGTGCTGTGCCAGTCAGTGAGCACAAGTAATGAGTGGGTGTAAACCCTGACTCTTCCCCAGTTTCTACATGTTTAAATGTAGGTATTTTTCATACTACATAGCCCCCAGATGTATTTTTTTTCATTGCTAGTGGGGTCCCTTGTACTGCGGCCACTTCTGGATTATTTTACCAGCCCCAGATGATAGGCGAGGGTGATTGTGGAGCAATTGGTGGAATGAAGATTGGCAGGGGAAACTAAAGTACTCGGAGAAAACCTGCCCCAGCGCCACTTTGTCCACCACAAATCCCACTTGACCAGACGCAGGATCGAACCCGGACTGCCGCGGTGGGAAGCCAGTGACTAACCACTTGGGCTATGGCATGGCCTACGGTCCCAAAATGTAAGCCAACTACATCATCCTGTGCTCAAATGAAGAAACAGTGATCTGTTTTAATGCTGCAGCAAAAACTGGCTGTGTTGGGCTTACCAAGAGATGGTATATAGGTCTCAAATGTAATGCACAAATATGGCCACACTTTACACATACATCTTACAGGGTATATAAAAGCACACATTTTATGGTCTATTTAAGGCATTTTAAAGGATAATTGTGACCACATGCGATTTTGGGTTTAATCATTGTCTTTAGACCCCCCTGGCAAGATGTCACTCCACTTTATGGTATGAAATACCAACAGTAGTCTTAAACAATAAAAAAATACAAGAATTGAATGGTTCAGCTATCAAGGCGCATATTCAGATATGGTTAAGAAGAAGAAAATTAATATTTCTTACTTTCCAAGAGCAATAAATGGGAACACAGCCACATAATAAGTAACACAGACAACTGATATCAACCAGAAAATGGCTGGAAAATCCTTGACATCAGTGAGACGCACAACTTCTCCATCCTGATCTGTCTTCCTTCTGAGGATCCTTTCAGCCCTTTTGTCCATGAATGCAAGTAACAGAGCACATATCAGTGACATGAAACATGTGGTTGATGCTGCAACACAACATAAATGTTACTTACATAAAACATAAAACGAAAGCAAACATAAATGTTGTTCTTATTCATTTATGGTTCAGCGTTACACAGGAAGTCATGCAATATCACTGGGCCATGAAGAACTGAGACACAAAACAAGAGCATGAATTTCAAAATTAGAACCTGAACTATGGCATATCTCTAACAGAAATTCCTAAGTAGATTCAATTCTCACAACAAACTTAAAATTAAGACAAGGTAAAAATATATAACACCAAGCCAAATAAATCTGTATCTGTGGTTTTTGGTTTATTTAATAACTGTCAGGAGCTCAGATTACAGAGCAGCCATGGCCCAACCTGAGGTACTACCGACATCTTTCTGGAGGTATGGAGGACAAAAAAACAAAAAGCAAAACAAACTCTGAGATTTTAGTCTGCAAGTGAACTATAAGGACCGAGCGGCCGCCACTTGTCGGCAAAGTTGGTGCAAACATTAGCAGATAGAGGGTGTCATGTGATCAGTGCAATGAATTCCCACAGCCATTAATTTCGCTTTTCCTGATCGGAGTCACTACTTTTCCATTCAAGTAGCTCCTCAATTATCCTCACGAGGCTGAGTGGACCCCATTCCAGACCCACTACTTCTCAGAAAATCTGGTAGTGCCGGGACTCGAACCCAGGCCTCTGGATCTGTAGCCAAGAACTCTGACCACCAGACCACAGATGCTGTCGGTAGGACAACAAAAAATCTTAGTCATGACAGCCAGTGTCCTAGCCAAGATCCGAACTCGACACTTTCCAGACACAAGTCAGAAGTCACACCACTTGAGCCAACTTGCTTGGTGCACTCAAATAACTAACTCCTTGAGAAGCTGCCAGCTGTGCAGCTACTCGAATATTTCCAAACAATTTATGGAAACATAAGAGCCCTCCGTTGGTCCCTATCCTGAGAGACCAATTCAGTCCATACCACTGCACTCTATCTTTCTAAGATTGTCTTAATATTATCCTCACACCTATGTGTAGGCCTTCGTAGTGGTCTATTTCCTTCTGTACATCCCACCAAAATCCTATGGGATAGCGCAGTTGGTATAGCAACTGGTTATGTGATGGATGACCAAGGGGTCAGAGTTCAAGTCCCATGGGGGACAAGAATTTTCACTTCTCTGTGTCATCCAGACCAGCTCTGGGGCCCACCCAGCCCCCTATCCAGTGGGTACTGGGAGCTCTTTCCATGGGGGTAAGTCGGCCGGGGAGTGAAGATGACCACTAACCTCCAACTAGTGCTGAAGTCAAGAAAACCTGAATCTATACATCCACCCCCCCCCATACGTCTTCATGGCGTAGTGCTTTAATTAGTTAAACATCCTATATACATTCCTCTTCTCCCCCATGTGTGCTACATACCCTGCACACTTTATCGTCCTTGAACTGATCACTCTAATTATACTTGGCAGAGAGTACAAGTTATGAAGCTCCTCATTATGCAGTTTTCTCCAACCTCCTATCACTTCATCCCTCTTTGGTCCAAATATTCTCAACACCCTTTTCTCAAGCACCCTCAGTCTATGTTCCTCCCTTAATGTCACAGACCAAGTTTCACACCCATAAACAATGTATATATGGCTTCATATTTCTACGGTAAAGGTAAAGTTGTCCCTGTGCTTAATTAATTTAGCATTATGCCACGAAGATGTATGGGGGCGTGGAGATACAGCTCCACCATTCTTGACCCCAGCACTAGATGAAGGTGGGTGGTCAGCTTCCAGTCCAGCTGCTCTACCCTTGGGAAAGAGCCTCCAGTACCCATTGTATAAGAGGCTGGGTAGGCCCCAGAGCCTGTACATATGCTGCGGAGTGGAGAGAAATCTCTTTCTTCTGCCAGGAACCAAATCCCAGCCATCTAGCTCATAGTTCATTGCTATACCACCAGAGGTATCCTGACTTGCTCATAATTCTACGGTAAGGTAAAGCTATCCCTGTAACAGGCTGTGAAGGCCTATACGGTTGTGAGATGCCGAGGCTCCCACATTTTCTAGACAATCGGCTCACAGATGGCGGTGAGGTTGTCAGCCTTACACACTGGTCGCCCTTTACATCCAGGAAGATTCCTGGTACTCATTTCTGTTAGAGGATAAGTCGACCCCAGGGCCATAGTGAGGCTGGAAAGAATATATAGCTAAACTGAAAAAATACAAACTCATCGGGAACTGAACCCACGACCTGCCGGCTTCTAGCATAGTACATCAACCAACTATGCTACCTCATGCCCCGCTCATAATTCTATGACTAAAGCAAAAATATATCTGTCAGAAGTTCCATTATAGCAATCACAGACACGAAATACTTGCTCCATTTGCTGCTTACCTCAAAAGTTTCATATACATATACATATAGTTACATATATATTATTCTGCCATATTACTCACTCATCTAATGTCTTTCCTTCTTTATCTATTTATGTCTTACATCATGATGTGAGAGCCAGGATAGCTCAGTTGGTACAGCGATGAGCTACAGGCTGGACAACCTGGGTTCAATTCCCGGCAGTGCAAGATCTCTCTCTTCTCCACAGCATCCAGACTGGCTGTGGAACCCAATTACACTCCTATCCAATAGGTATTGCAGGCTCTTTCCCTGGAGGTAAAGTGGCAGGCTGTAAAGCTGACCACTCACCTCCATCTAGTGCTGAGGTCAAGAATGGTGGAGTTATACCTCCACTCCCCCATATCATTTCTCAGCATTGGGCTTAATTAATTAAGCACAGAAATTATAATAATGCTTTAACAGCTCTAACTATAAAAAAAAAGATAAAGCTATCCCTGAAACATGCTATGGAGGACTACAAGATTATGAGACACTGAGGCTTCCACATTTTGTAGACAGTTGGCTCATATATGGTGTGAGGCTATCAGTCTTACGTGCTGGCTTATATACTGTCAGATGATAGGTTGCCAAGTAAGCAATGAATGGAAAGTGACTTTGAAGGAAGTGATCTTGGCATCAGTAGAGGTACTATCCTGATATCCGCTTGGAAGAACTGAAGAAACCCTTGAAAAAACTCACTCAGGGTACCAGGTCTCCAGGCCAGAATCTGAAACCAGGACCTCACAAATATGAAGCAAGTGTTACTGATTCAATTGCAACACTCACTAAAGGGCAAAGAAGTGTCACACTGAGAAGAATGTCAATTGCAATGATTCCGAAGGGCAGGAGAAATCCTCGGGCGGGGGGGTGCACATACATACAATACAGAGGGATCTCCCTGACTGAATAGTGGACACCTACATGAAGTCTGCAGTTAGCTTTCACTTTGATAGCTATAAATGACAAATAATTAGAGTCAGACAAGTTGGATTTTGTCTAGAGATAACTCATAAACTCATATAAAAATTGTGTATGACACTATTCTAATTTGTAAATAATCATAAAACTGACAAGGGTTTGAAAGTTAGGGGTTTGCCTGAAAATTTTAATGCAAATGGAATCTGTGTTAATGGAAATTATAAACATAAACAAGTCACTAAATTATATAATCATTAATTTATAGTTCTGGCTAGCCTCACATGACAGTGACTGAAGCATGTGTGGGAAAGTTCAAGTCACAAGTTAGAACACTGTTTTCATATTACTTTTATATTCGATTCCATACCATTCTGCTTTTATTCATTATCTACAAAAGGCAAAGTTATCCCTGTTATTATTTAATTAAGCTCCACCATTCTTGACTTCAGCAACAGAAGTGAGTGTTCAGCTTCATGCTCTGGCCACTTTACCCTGGGGAAAGTGATCCTAGTACCCATGGTATAGGAGGCCAGATGGGCCCCAGAGTGGATCTCGGCAATGTGGAGCAAAGAAAAATCTCTTGTCCCTGATGGAAATTGGACCTCATCCATCCAGCCTGCAGCCCATCATTATGGTGACTGAGATATCCTGGGATGACTACAAAAACCATCAAAATATAATAACAATCATAACCACTTTCATTCTTAAAAACCTTACATGCTTTGGCCCTTAAGCTATTATCATGTGTACATTCACGAGGTTTACATAATCTTACCTAAAGTATGATAAATTTAAAATGTGTTTTAGCTACATAAATTCCCATCTTAGTTATTTTGGTAAGAAGAAAATTATTAAAATTATAACCACATTCAGATTAAAACTTACTCACACAATCTGACTTCCTTTAGTTATTTTTTCCTAACAAACAGCAGTTTCACAAATAGAACTGACACTTCCGTATTATGAATGTACTTGTAAATAAAATCAAAACAGATGATAGTGTAACCCAGTCACTAAAGTTTATCAACATACCAATTATCAGCACAACTCCAATACACATGTACCCTGAGTAATACTTGCTGACCCAATTGTACAGAGGCTCCATCACATTGAAGTTCACAGTTGAACCAACTCGAGCAAAGCTCATCTGAAGACCAAATACCATATTTAGCTCTTTGCCCTTAAACCAGAGCACTGCATAATTATTCTGTGCCACTGCCAATGATTCACCACCAATCCTGCCAACATGAAGTACACAGATGTAATAAAAAAAGTAAAATGTAAAGGTATCCCTGTAACAGGTCGTGGAGACCCATGGGTTTGTGAGATGTTGAGGTTCCAACATTTCCTAGACAATCGGCTCACAGATGGTGGTAAGGTTGTTAACCTTATGCGCCAGCCACCCTTTACCCCCAAGAATATTCCTGGTACTCATTTCTGTTAGTGGCTGAGTCAACCCCAGGGCCATAGTGCAGCTGGAAGGATTAGGTATATAAAAAAAAATGACCTCATCGGGATTCGATCCCACAACCTTCTGGCTTGCAGCACAGCGCCTCAACCAACTATGCTACCGCATGCCCTCAAAAACATGTAACACCCATGCTTAATGAAATCTGTTACAAATTTGTTGGATATAGGACATTTCTACATGGAACTGTGAGAGATGTATATGAAATTCAATCAAGATAACTGACACATCATTCAGACAGATAAATGAATGACATCCTAAGAAAGGATAGACAGGCTGTCTGCAATAGTTAAGTTTCACATAATATTGGTACTGTTATATTATGTATAGCTCATCTTAAAAAGATAAAGGGTAAAGTTCTCCCTGTACTGAATTAATTAAGCACCATGGCATGGGGAAGTGGAAGTACTGCTACATGCATTCTTAGCTTCAGCAGCAGATACAGATGAGGGGTCAGTTTCTTGCCTCTGTACCCATGGATAGGAGACTGGGTGGGCCCAGAGCCAGTCTAAATGTAGTAGTGGAGAGAAAAAGCTCTGCCCTGAACAGGAATTCATCAACATACAATACACAATACATGGATGACAGTTGTAACAGCAACATATTTAGTGTTTTCCCTCCCTCCTATTAAATTACATGTGTCATCTTTTGAATTTGAAAAGCATACGAGGTGTACAGGAAAGTTCCTGGACTAGGTCAAAAAAGAAATGCTGGCTTAACTTACTCAATTTTGGCTGCCATGTCCTTCAAAACAGTCTCTTTGGGAATGTATAAAGGGTTACCATTGCTTTCTTCGCACTTCAAAAGCACCACGGAAGCCACTTTCCTTAATGCTGTCAAGTACCACTTTCGATTCCCTCTGGATGTCAGACACCGTTTCAAAACGTTGACCCTTCAGTTTCATTTTCAGTTTGAGAAACAAAGCGAAATCACGGGGGGCTAAGTCAGGCGAGTCAGGAGGATGGGGATCTATAACCATGTTGTTGTTAGTCACAAACTCTGTGGTTTTCAGGGACATGTGGGCGGGCATACTGTCGTGATGTATGAGGCAGTTGTGGCTGCACCAAAGTTCTGGTCTTTTTCATTGCATATTTTTTCTCAAGCATCTCAAAACATCACAGTAAAAGTCAGTTGACCATAGTGTTATGAGGGACAGATTTAAGGTGTGAAAAATGAGCATGCCCTTCGGTGAACTCCAGACCTGCCTCACCTTTCTTGCTCCTGGTGATTGTGCGTTCTTCCACTGTGACCATTGTTGCTTTGTTTCTGGATCATAACCACAAATCCAATCCTCATTGGCCTTCACTTGTAGCTCAGGACACACGTTTATGCGCCACTGGTTTCGATCATTTGTCAAGGGTCAGGAACAAATTTCGCAGCAGTGCGGCGCATGTTCAAATTTTCTGCTAAGATCTCCTGACAAACTCCATAACTGATCCCAACATTGTCTGAAAGCTCATGGATTGTTTGACAAGGGCCTTCATGGATGAGTTCTCGCATTTTACATATTAGGCCCATGTAAGTGACTTTTATTTTGACAGAAAATCTGTAATGTTTATTATTTTGTAAGTTGTTTAGACTTTATCTCACAACATTTCATTTTCCTTTCTACGTTCAAACCCCACTGACCATGCAGGCTAGCAAAGTGTCAACATATTGTTGCACTGCCAAGCCATGACTAACATAATCACCAATTCCTGCTTCTTCACATACATCCACCCTATCCCCTACTTCATCACTCTGTTGCAGCAGCAATGATAACATCAGTGTCAGGCATATGTTGGAAGTTACCCATAATTCCAATGGATTCCATAATGAAGCCAGGGAGAAGCAACTGTCCTTCAGACACAATACATCATGGGACAGTCATTATCCCATATGTTAGGGGTATTTCAGAAAAATGCAGATGCTTTGGGAACCTCTTTGATTTTACAACCATTTTCAGAAGTAAACATATTGTGACATGGATGGAGCAACAGGAAGTAGGGGTCACATGAACTATGTGGTCTTGCGAGTGACGTCACATACCCCCACTCCTTCCTGTTGTGCCATCCACGTCACAATATGTTTAATTTTGAAAATGGTCGTAACATCAAAACGGTTCCCAAAGCATCTGAATTGTTCATGTGAACTCCGCGGTCTCACGAGTGACATCACAGTATGCTCTGTGGGATATTGATAAAAACTGGACCACTTAAGAGAAGCCCAACAGATGAAGCAATGTGTGTATAGTATTCCATGCAAATGTGGCAGATGTTATGTTGAAGAAACAAGAAGACCTTTAGAAGTAATCATTTTGGAGCATAAATATATACTATGACCCAAGATCTGCTCAAAAAATCGAAATTAGGCCATCATGCATATGAAGAAAGCCACAAAATATGTTGGAAAGCAGCAAAGGTCTTGCAGATTGAACCAAACACCGCATATAGGAAATACATGGAATCCACCCACACGTCTCTGGTAGCTCATCTAATCTGTCAACCCTACGTGGAAATCTCTCCCTTCTGGACTCCCATCATTGAAGTGGGGGTCAGAAAACTACAATTCTATCCAATTTAGATTACATGAGAAAGTTGCGTTTTATGCAGGTACTACAAAGATGCTTCTTTAAGTCTTGGTTTTATCTTCTGTTAGGTCAAATCTGGTGTACAGAAATTTTCATGCTGCTTGAATTTTAATCTTTGATACCTGCTGTGTCTGTATTATCTCTGATTCTACAGTTCAAAAGACTATGTCGCATCACTGAATTTATAATACTTTCTTCTCTTAGAATTTGTCTAGTGTTTGCTCTGATATTATGGACTCTGACCTGTAAATTATGCATGACCATAGGTGCTAGACCTCATGTGTGTGTGGAGTTTTGTAATGTCTGTCTTAACTGCTGCTGACTGTTCATGTTGTTACCCTGGCTGGTATAAGTGGTGTCTGGAGAGACAGACTAACTCTATCGATTGGGCCCAGTTGAGAAGGCTTTTACTTGAGCATGAAGACAGAGTCCAGTCTCCGAGACACTGTTTTTAAATAAAAAACAGGATAATGGATAATGTTCAAAAAGTCCTAACTGTATTAAAATAATATCATCACCACAAACATCCAGACTTTATATACTGGAAGCAACATTCACACAGGTCACTCTGCAGCCATACGAGGTATCCTTCCCTGACTCTTTCAAACTCTTTTGAAATATTAATCAAATCCATAATGTCAGGCTTTGTAGGATTTGAGGTTCTCACAGTAGCTGTTGCCTGAATTATGATGGGTTCTTACTTGGCTTACTCTTCAACCCTGATGACAGAGGAAACAAGATGACATTTTCCTTCAAAATACTGGTTGACTTTCAACAGATTACACAGTGGTATATCCAACTCATAAGAGAGAACTCTTCGACCAGATCTGGCAGAGGTTTAGTCCATAATCACAGAAGAGTTATTGGTTTCACTGGTGACCATGCTGATACATGCCAAGTATAGGATCTCATACCACCAGGATTTTTGGAATCCTCAGCAAGAATTCTGAGTAGGCAAGCCCAGTACTGCCATGCCACTGACAAAAATCACACCATTTGTGGGTCATATTATTACTGTGACACTGGAGGGTAAAAATTTTACAATAACAGGACAGCCTGTCTGTCCCTTTCACTCCTGGCTGATGCTCAGACTTTTAGCAGAGGGTGCCATAGACATTTGAAACAGTTCTACCTGCAGTACCCCTTTCCCCAGTTCTGCTATTACTACTAGACCATGTCCCCATTTCTCATTCCAACCTCCATACTAGTCTTCTGAGACGAGAAAAGAGTATGTATCCATATTCACATTCAAGAAAACGTGTGATTATACAGATCACATGAAAAAACCAAGCATGGATGCATTGCCAACAAGTAATCCCGATAATATACAGCTGAATAACCAGAAGCTGGGTGTATGAACTGACAAGTACTGAACAACCATCTCAAACTTGCAGCGGCAAAGGTAGTAATGGAGTTATGAGGATGACTGGCCTCACATTACTCATACATTTTGATGTAAATCTTCAACAGGCAACTAAAACACTCAAAATTCCTGATTTACATAATGAAATCTCTTCTCTTCTCATCTTTACATGACATCTCTGAGATTCTCCTTCTGTACCTATGCTGTAACTATCAGGTTCCTTTCCATTTAGATCTATACTATCACTACAGTGAACATTACATTCATGTCTCCTCCTGCAAGGCACAATATTAAATCTTTACTTACCCAAAGACAAAACGCCCTAACACCATTAACCAGAATCTGTTAAACACTCCACCAAGGGCAAATATTATTTGTCCAATAACTAATAGTGCTGCATATATTATCGTCCCCAGACGGATTCCAAAAACTCTGTAACAAAACAGAAACGAAATTCTATAGAACTTTCTCCATGTGTGCTGGGGTTGTTAGAATACACCAAGTAAATTAAATAAATGTTAATGAAATTATTAGAATTCCATTAACACTATAACAAACCAAACATGTCAGCACAGTGGTATCACTCTCTGCTCACATTCAGGAAGTCGCTGGTTTGAAACCCGGCTGGGACACTATCCTGATCAAGGTTTTTGTGGTGTTCATCAATCCCTCCAAGCAAATGCTAGGACAATATGTAAATCAACCCATGACTTGCTTTTTTCCAAATCCTACCTGTGATGTTGGCCTAGCTACTCACAAGAAAGTAAGTAAAGTAAAGGTATCCCTGTAACAGGCCATGAAGGCCCATAGGGTTGTGAGACGTGGAGGGTCCCACATTATCTACACAATCAGTTCAAAGATGGCTGTAAGGTTGTCAGCCTTACGCGCCGGCCACGCTTTACTCCCCAGGAAAATTATTTAATTAATTCCAGGTACTCATTTCTGTTAGAGGCTGATTCGACCCCAAAGGTCATAGTGCAGCTGGAAGGAATAGGTCAAGTGAAAAAAAATTCATATGACCTCATCAGGACTTGAACCCACGACCTTCTGGCTTGTAGCACAGTGCCTCAACCAATTACACTACTGAACCCACACTACTACGATGCACAGTATTACTCCACTGTGTTTTTCCTCTTTATGAAGTCATCACCTCGTGCTTTCTACACACTGCTTTCCAACCAATAAACAACTTAAAAAGCAGTATAGTAAAAGCACCTTATGATGACTTCATGAAGTCTGAAAACATGCTTAATACACCAACTGCAGTGAAGTCATTAAGCATATTGAAGTTCCCTTCAAATCTCATTATTCTTTTTACATCACATCTGATCCCCACATGAAGTACATCAGTGGTTCTCAAACTTTTTCGCCTGTGGACCACTTTGGCAGGGCAAAAGATTCAACACACCACCTAACACCATAAGTTCTAACTTTCTCTCCTCTGCCACAAAAAAAAAAAACTCTCTTCGAACTTAACAGGGGACAGTGCTGCAAGTGATGACGCCATTCACGATGCCATGTCTGGTTCCAAGCTGAACAGCTCCAGTCTCATGTCAGGCTTCACATTCAGTCTTCGCCTCCTCCATTTTCAGCATCACAGGTGCTAAAATTCTTTTATCATAATTGTTTGTTGTTGGGTATTGAAGCAGGTGCTTCAGAATCGTGTCAGTCAGACGGCACACTGAGCTAAGCCCATGTAACTTTTCACATCAAACATCACCTGCAGTGACCCACTAAGTGCAACTTACAAAAGACATCCACCTCTGCTGATGGAAGCTTTACATTGATCTCTTCACTTCAGTCTATGTTTGCAAATGAATTTCTGGTCCACCCAAATCCTGTCTCTGGTTATGGGAAATACCTCCCAAATTACTTGTGGAGGCCAAGTACATGTCCTTCGAAGTCTTAAGAAAATCTGGCCATCAGTTTATTCCTGGGGCATTAAGCAGCAAAATGGTAACATTTGTTAACCAGTCAAATTCTAGGTGATCCAGATGGTCACATCTAACCTCCATCTTCACACATCACACTTAAATGCACTGCATAGGGGTGCCTTCCTTCTTCCACCTTCATCACAAAAACATTTTGGTTTATAGAAACCTCTGCCTTAACCACAGTTATAGTCCGAAGTTTGCCCTAGCCAGTGTTATGTTTATTCTGGCTTTCTGACCACATGTAAGTGAAATAAATGTATGCAATTGATATTGCCTCTACCATGCCTCTCCTGTTCATCAGACCTCTCCTCCCCCTCATGACAAAAAATCGTTTTTGACCAGGTGAACTGCTGTCCATGTACCACCTTAACTGGCAGTGTGAGCACCTTCATTTAAGTTTAATGCTCTCCAAAACAGGACCATTCTCAGTCTCACTTCTGGTAGGGCTGAGGGTAGTCCATTCCCTCAAAATGGCCATGGATGTGTCATTGCATGCCACTGATTTGCATTTTTGCCCACTTGTGACCAGCCTGCACATGTCCTGAAGAAACTTCACATATCACCAGTGGTCCATGGACCACACTCTAAGAAGTACTGAATTATATCATTCCCAGACTAAATTAAAATAAACATATAAAGAAAAGTAAACTTGTTATATATTATAACAGTTATGAGAACATTTCTAATTTTTTTTATATGCTTGTAAGAGGAACAGCAAATTTAGATAAAATAATTACGATTCAAAGGGAACATTATGTTTGTAGGTAAGGTAAAGCTATCCCTGTAACAGGCTGTGGAGGCCCATAGAGTTGTGAGATGTTGAGGGTCCCACATTTTCTCTAGACAATCAACTCACAGATGGCGATGAGGTTGTCTACCTTACACGCTGACCTCCCTTTAACACCAGGAAGATTCATGGTACTCATTCCTGTTAGAAGCTTAATTGAACCCATGGTCATAGTGCAGCTGGAAGGATTAGGTCAATTGAACAATCCAATGACATCATCGGCTACCGAACCCACAACCTTCCAGCTCATGGTATTGTGCCACAATCAAATACACTACCACGTGTTTATATTTCCAGAGGAATACAAACAAAATGGAAACTATGTTCTACATCTGTCTCTAAGGAATGCAGCCTTAATTGGCCATGCACTGCATTATTGCATCAGAGCATGTATGCTGTTCTGCTTACAAAGCACTTCATTATTGCATCAGAGAATTATGCTGTTCTGCTTACAATGCACTGCATTATTGCATCAGAGAATGTATGCTGTTCTGTTTACAAAGCACTGCATTATTGCATCAGAGCATGAATGCTGTTCTGCTTACAAAGCACTGCATTACTGCATCAGAGCATGTATGCTGTTCTGCTTACAAAGCACTGCATTACTGCATCAGAGAATGTATGCTGTTCTGCTTACAAAGCACTGCATTACTGCATCAGAGCATGTATGCTGTTCTGCTTACAAAGCACTGCATTAATGCATCAGAGCATGTATGCTGTTCTGCTTACAAAGCACTGCATTTATTCGATACTACTATTGTTACCTTCATGTTATGACATGAAACTGTTATGCACGAATTAAAATATGGCAACTAGTTGTTAAAGAGCAAGACAACCATCAATTATAGCACACTTTGCTAAAATGAGGAGTCAATAAAATTGCCTTATATGTACATTTAAAATTAAAGCTGTAAAGATGGCGGATGGTATTGAGGCGTCTAGAGTGAGCTCTAACATTTTATGTAATAATGTAGTTCATAGTAGTGGTACTTCTTGTTTAAGTTGTATAAAACTAAAAAGGGAACTTCAAAGAGTGCAAGAGGATCTTAAAACTGCTCAGTTTATCATAGAGTTACTACAAAAAGGAGTTAGCTCAACATCGGAACAAGAATCCAGTGGTAACTATATCCACTGTAAGGAGTGCGATGAATGTGATACTGATGATTGGAGGCAAGTGAGAATAAGTCAGGCGACTAAGGAGAGAGTTAATTTACCACCTATTACTGACTACTGTGTTCACACAGCAAATCGCTATGCAGTGTTAAATAATCTTCAAGAACATAGCCAACCTAACCTACAACCTCTCACGAAGTACAAAGGCAGACCAATAGCAACAGTAGTTAACGGAGTCCCTAGTATGAGAAATCGCAAGAAATCGGAGCAAAAGCACAAAAATCAACAATCAAATAATACATGCAATATGGTAAAATCCAAGAAGCACAGCGTCCTGATACTTGGGGACAGCCATGCGAAAAGAAGTGCAGACCTTATAATGAACGAATTAAGTAAAGAGTTCGGGGTCATAGGAATTGTGAAACCAGGTGCCAGATCAAGTGACATATTAAATACCAATATTGACAAAAGGATGACAAAGAATGACATTGTAGTAGTGTGGGCTGGTACCAATGACATCGGCAAAGATAGAGCAAAGGAAGGAATAAACAACGTAATCAACTTTATAGAAAGGACCAGTCATACCAACATATTGATTATGGAAGCACCACACAGACATGACCTGGCTGATTGGTCTTGTGTCAACAGAGAGGTGATACGATTCAATAGACTTCTAGCCAAAAGAATGAAATCATATCAGCATGCAGCAATCTGCAGTATGGATCTTGGCAGGCAACACTTCACAAAACATGGGCTGCACATGAACAAAGAAGGGAAAGTAAAGATGTGTCAGCAGATAGCCAAATTAGTTAAACTGAAAGTGGGGGAAAGAGTCAACAGAACTACACCGTCAGAATCTAGAATCCATGTTGAAGCCATTCCACTAAACTATGAAGGAAACACTGTCCAGAAAAAGACTACAAAAACTCAACTGAATGAAACAGAGGAAGAGACAGCGGAAATTCAGGCGACTGCAACAGAGGACGAGACTGCAGAAATTCAAGGGACTGCAACGGAGGACGAGGTTACAGAAATCCAGGTGACTGAAGTAGAGGGTGAAACTGCAGAAAACCAGGCGAAGGAAGATAAGGCAACTCCAGTCGATCCATCCCTCAACAGAGTGGTGTCATCCAGTGGAGACCAGCAGCAGGAAATCCGAATGTCAACCAGGAAAAGGAAGCTCCCAGTAAAGCTAAGTAAAGATTTTTTATAGATAAGCATAATAATAAGAATAGTACTGGTACTCTCAAGAATACTAACAAAATGAGTGCAAACATACAAATAATACATCAAAATGTTCAAAGTCTAAGAAACAAGAAACTAAATATAGAAGTGCTATTAACAAACAAAATGCTAGAATCAGATATACTGTGTATCACTGAACATTGGTTAGATGAAAGAGAAATAGGTTATTATAACTTTGAAAACTACTCCTTGATTTCAAAATTTTGTAGGAAAAATAAATTGCATGGAGGTTCATGCATTTATGTCAAAACAAACCTAGATGCAAAACCTTGTAACCTATTTGAAAGCTTAAATCAAGAAGAGCACTTTGAGGCCAGCATAATTGAACTTATACAATTTAATACTATCATAAT